CAGATATACCAGTATCAAATAACTCGAGGCAAACTATGGTCCTGGTTGGATATGAGTTATTTTGTACTTCATTAGATTTATTGGATAAAGTGAATTAATTTAAAAAAAAAAAAAATTATGAATGAGTTTGATTTGAGTGAGATTTTAAGTTTATCTTTAAATCATATTTAAAATATACTAATTCAAGTTTATGTCATGTAAAAGTATGCGAGAGGTGATTAAAAATGATGTAAAATTAAAATATGTGAGTGAATAAATAATTAATTAATTAATGTTGATCTGATTTTTAGGATAATTGATTATTATTATTTAATTATATTCATAATATTAAGTAAAATTGAATTGAGTCAATATTAAGTTAAATTTTGAATTAAAAAATTATCTAACCAATCATAACTAGATATTATAAACTAAACAAATAGACCTTCTCAAGAATGGAGCCATCAAGTTCTATGATAAGCCTATGGGCCATGTGTGACACTCTATAAATAGAGATTTGTAACAATAACACTGTGATGATCCAATGTGGATTTAAAATTAATGAATGTGATAAATGTGTTTATATTAAAGACACAAAAAAGGGTTATGTAATCTTATGTCTTTACATAGATGACATGCTTATTGTTGGAAGTAATGATAAAATTATTAAATCCACAAAAAATATGTTAAACTCAAGATTTGACATGAAAGATATGGGTCTAGCTGATGTGATTCTTGGAATTAAAATTCATTGAACATCACAAGGAATTGTTCTGAGTCAGACTCATTATGTGGAGAAAGTCCTTGAAAAATTTAATAAGGATGATTTGACTCAGGCTAGAACCCCGATAGATACAAGTCAACATCTGTCGAAAAACAAAGGAGAAAGTGTTTCTCAAGTTGAATATTCAAGGGTGATAGGGAGTCTGATGTATCGAATGAATTGTACTAGATCGGACATCGCCTTTGCCGTGAGTAAACTGAGTAGATATACAAGTAATCCAAGAGATGAACACTGGAAAGGAATTGTGAGATTACTTAGATACTTGAGATATACTTGTAAATATGGTCTGCACTATTGTAAATATCCAACTGTAATTGAAGCCTATATTGATGCCAACTGGATATCGGATATGAAAAATTCTAAATCCACTAGTGGATATTTATTCACTTTGGGAGGTGCAGCCATATCATGGAAATTTTCTAAGCAGACTGTTATTGCCAGATCCACAATGGAGTCTGAATTTATAGCATTGGACAAAAGTGGAGAAGAGGCAGAGTGGTTTCGCCATTTTTTAGAAAATATTCCAAGATGGTCAAAACCAGTGCCAACCCTTTGTATACATTGTGATAGTCAATCGGCTATAGTTTAGGGGACAAAGTAACATGTATAATGGTAAAATAGACATATTCGTCGAAGACATAATACCATTAGACAACTACTCTCAACTGGTACTATATCTATTGACTATGTGAAGTCAAAAGATAATCTTGCGGATCCGCTAACCAAAGGGTTAAATAGAGAGTTAGCTGCTAAATCTTTGAGAGGAATAAGACTTAGGCCTCTAGAAATGAGTTGATGCAATGGAAACCCTATCTTGTTGACTGGAGATCCCAAGATCTTGGTTCAAAGGGACAACATAATTGTAAAAAGACTCTTGTGTTCACTGTGAGATTTTATCCATTGTCCATTTCTTAAACAATGATACCCGTGGTGAGTAGGATAAGTATTTGGCTTTTAATGATTCTTGTATGGGAAGGTAGTGCGGGCTACTATATATTAATTGAGAATCATCTATGTGAGAGAAGTGAGACCGCTTTGAAGAGAATTATGTGAGGCTCGATTGTTAGACCCCTCTCACAGAACCAGGCTATGTCCAAGGCCATCAATGGACATAATAATGAGAACTAGAATATGTTAGGGAGAATCCTGTGTGAAGTATATTTATCGTTTACACAAAAGGCAGAACAGTTCAAAGACATCATGTTTACTGGGCAGCACCTACCTATTCTATGCAGGTTTTAAACTGTCGGACAACAACATTATTTGTTTCAATTTCATTCATGTGGGCGATTGTTGGAAAAATTGAATGAAAGTTAACTGAAAATTTCATATGAAATCGTGTCTTCAATTTTGAAACATGTAACTTGGTTTTATTAATGTTACATTTACTTAAGTATATTAAGTATTGGATTAAATGAGTGAGTTAATGAGTATGGATTATCTTAGACTACAAAAGGGTCTTGTCATCTTTTGTAGAAATGACTTACGAAAAGAAGAATGTAAAAAAAGTGATTAAAATCTATTTCCCCATTTGTCTTTCATAAGTGTTTTGGTCCAGACATAATTCCAGTTCGCCGAATTTGTTTCTGTTTTTCTGTTGTATCTTGGAAAACAGACGCTTATATAGAGCGAATATGTTTTAAGGAAACTGTGTTTTCACAGGCCTCGGTATTTATTTAATAGCCATCTTATTTTTATTTTCCCGATAAAGTTCCCTACAATATGTAGACTTGATTGTACACTTAGCTAAGAATAAATAATTGTTTATTGGCAAAAATATGTTCAATGATTGATTTTATAAACGTTGAGCATCCAAAAGGAGGGCGCGTGCAGTTAACATGCCTCTTCCGGATACAACGTTTCATCATCTCTCTTTAAGACAGATGGACCAAACAACAATTTACACATGGCGGGTGCCGTTTATATCCATTAAAACGCATTTATTATAAGAACACCTTTCCACGGACCGTCGCTTCTGTCTGTGACCGTTACGTCATTTTATCTTGAGGGAAAAGTAAACAAAATGAACAAGTGTTCAGATGTCGGAATTAAAGCGTACACCGGGATGAATGCCAAAAGTCCCTCAAGTCGGATTTTATATACATAAAAGCGACATCAGCAACCATCACTGCCCGCATGCCTACTAATGTCAGGGGCCTCTATGTTGACAACCGACCTGATTAACCTGGTTTAGAATGAAGATTTACGAATAATATTCAAAGATTATCACTTAAACCAGCTGATACACAAAACTTGGTGCAACTCGGTGAAAGCCAAGTGAAAAACCGACTTCTCAAGAACCGAGATCCTTCTCAAAGACCAAGGTCCGGGGAGACCACAACCCAAAGCAGGTGACAAGGCGCTTACGAAATTGAACAGTGACCACACAAATTGCAATCATTGATGTAGGTTCACTTGCGGACAACCGCCTCCATAAAACCACTTTGCATTAAACGCGGCTACACCAACCTCGTACATTGGACCACGAAAGTTACTATAAATAGCAGAATTTATTATTGTACGAGGATCTTTTTGTTTTTTGTTTTTGGAGCATTCAATCCGCACATAAAAATCAACACGGTTCATGTTAAAACCGACATCTCGTAACACTTGATCATCCATTTCTAATACAAATTTCTTACATTTCACATGATATTGTCGTTGTTAAATTTCGCATAACAACACATACATTAAAATCAAACATACATAGATTACATTACTCGAATCAATAGAAAGGACACATACGAGTATGAAACACAAAAATAACACATAGGATTTTAAATTACAAGAAATTGGGGAAACTCTACGTTTATATAGACATATATTCTTAATTATATATACCTTATAAATATTCTATCAATTATTATTATTATTATTATTATTATTATTATTATTATTATTATTATTATTATTATTATTATTATTATTATTATTATTATTATTGTTATTGTTATTATTTTATTTTTTTAATAATAAAACATACAGATATGCCAGTATCAAATAACTCGAGGCAATCTATGGTCCTGGCTGGATATGAGTTATTTTGTACTTGATTAGATTTATTGGATAAAGTGAATTAATTAAAAAAAAAAATATGAATGAGTTTGATTTGAGTGAGATTTTAAGTTTGTCTTTAAATCATATTTAAAATATACTGATTCAAGTTTATGTCATGTAAAAGTATGCGAAAGGTAATTAAAAATGATGTAAAATTAAAATATGTGAGTGAATAAATAATTAATTAATCAACATTGATCTGATTTTTAGGATAATTGATTATTATTATTTAATTATATTGATAATATTAAATAAAATTGAATTGAGTTAATATTAAGTTAAATTTTGAATTAAAAAATTATCTAACCAATCATAACTAGATATTATAAACTAAACAAATAGACCTTCTCAAGAATGGAGCCATCAAGTTCTATGATAAGCCTATGGGCCATGTGTGACACTCTATAAATAGAGATTTGTAACAATAACACTGTGAAAATAATTCAGAAGTTAGTTGCAAGACTTTTCATATTCGTCATCTTATAAACTTCTTCGCATACTTTTCAATTCCCAGTGACGTACGTACACTAAGAAAACTTTTTTTTTAATAGTTTGTTTATTCTGTTGCCCAATCTTCATCATCTATACAAGTTATTTTTACACGGGCAAAATTGCAATTTTAGTCCTAATTAATTCTAAAAATTGAACATTTTTACTATTTGGTCTTATGATTTTTAAAATTCAATGCAATTCCAGTCATTTGGGACTGTAAATGCAACGAAATTTAAAATTACAGTACTTAAATTGCTAATAAAAAATCTTTTGGATGAGTTTTTAATTAGCAATTTAAGTCCTGTAATTTTAAATTTTTGTTGCAATTCCAGTCCCGAATGTCTGAAATTGCAGCAAAATACTAAATTACAGGATCAAAAGACAAAATATTGAAATCTTAGGACTAATTAGAATGCTACAGTGCTAAACCAACATGACTAAAAATTCAATTATGCTTTTTATACACATAGTAGCCATCTATTTATAATCCCCCTTTAGGGACTGAAATGTTGCCTAACCATTCAAAGCCACCACTTCACGTTTTATTTGCTTGACTTAAGTTTGGGTATTGTAGTTAAGGAGTGCAACTTACATGAACAAAAATTTCAAGAAAGTTTGAAAACACCCCATCTCCATACATCCCTCTAAAACCCCTATTTTCACCCTTCTTGCTTTTTGCATCTTTAGTATGAGTAAAGAAGTTCACTCCCAAGGAAAAGTCCCCTTCTCTTGGGAGAAAAAACCGGGCGTGAGCAAGGCGACGGCCCGGCCGCCGGAGCACAACCGCGTCCCACCACGGAAGCTCCCGCCTCCACCATGTCCTCCGGGCATGTTGGATGCACGACTTTCATCCGTTCGCGACTCGCAAATCCCTCGAGTACGCTTATCGAGAAGCGCTTCTAGGAAGGACACGAAGAAGGTAACGGACGATCCTTTCTTGATTGCCTATAAGGAGGTCACGAAGAGCGATTATAAAAAGGACAAAGGTTTGATACGTCGTAGCGAGAAAGGGGATCGCGGGCTCGGAGCGTTGAGGAATATTTTTATGTTTTCTTGCAAAGTACAATCGTCTTGTATTGTGCAAGAGAACAGCGTAGTCAGATTTTCCGAGCTTCCGATTTCAAGATCGTATAGAGATGGAGGCCACAATTAGAGAAGAGAACGTTACCATGTTATTCAGTTTTGGTCAATTTGCTAGTTGAAACAATAAAATCATATACAGGGTTCTCTGTTTTATTTTCTTTGATTTGATATATGGCTGATGATTAACAATTATGCTATATGGAACTGGGGTTTGTTATACCAATGTGAGTACACCAGGGGCAAATTTACATGCAGTGATAGGGGACAATTAATTTTAATCTTTTTACTATTAATATTACAAATTTTAATTTGCTCCCTTTTAAATTTATTTTTGCACTCCTGTTTTTTTGTTTTTAAACGACACTCACCAGACCAACTTGTTAACAATTGTCAATTAATAATTCAACACTTCTTTTATTTTGCTATTAATTTTGTATATCTGTACTTATATAAAGAGTCATCCTATTTACTAAATTATTAGCAAAAAAATAGGTCAGCATTTAATGTAACCCATAAATAGTAGTTTTATTATTTTTCTTATTTTTTTAAATCATACACTTTAATTTATAAACACGCTTTAATATAACTAGTATGTAACCCGTGCATGCACGGGCTAGTACATGTTTTGCAAAAAATTAAAAAATTAAAAGGTCATTAATTAATAAGTTATTATAATACGTATGACATTCATAAAGTAAATATAAAATTGTCATTGGTAAAAAGTTCTACATTATTAAAACCTCCTTATATACAACGTTATTAGTTTGATTATTGGGTAACTCATCGACCCACAAACTAATATTTTCAACCCCTTCCTATTAGTAACACGTGAAACAACGACATATAACTGACCATGACTAAAAATAGTTTTTTTTCAAGAACAGTCCAACATGTGATAAGACTGATCTTGACTCTTGTTTATGGTCATGGCAATAAAACCATAAGGGGAAATTGCCTCCGCTGGAACTTAAACGGAACCCTAATATCAGAAGGAGTTATGTTCATCCGATGAATCAACACCTTCTCACCTGCGTGATCTCCAGTCAATATCCTACATTCAAGAACATGTGGAGAGAGCTTCGTAACAACCAAACGTGTGCCAATACACAGACTCATAGAATGGTCCATGTATCGCAACAATATGATCGAAGTTCCTATCTTCAAATGCAACTCATGGTTCGGCGTTCCCGAACACTTAATGCTATTCCAGAACTCGGGTGTGTGGAGATCAGCCAAAAATCCATTGCCAGAATCCGACTTAGACGTACTGTCAGAGCTCAAATATGTACGACCTTCAACAGAATTCATATCCGACATTTAGTGATTGATAGATCCAACGACCTCCAAAGTAGGCGCTAATATAGCTCTGTCCTTCAAATAACTTGGATCATCAGTTGCATTTTTGAACATTGGATAAATACTTTCGACGATTGTAGCAATTGGATCATCTAAGGTTTTCAATTGTATATCCTCTAGAATGTCAATCGCGGCACAACTGTCGTTTGATCCTCTTATAGTCCCATGTCCAATGCTCGCAATCCACTCAGCAAATGTTGTTAGCACATCACGTTCGTCTGCATCTGAAATGCTCTGAAGACGCATGTTCTTTGTAAGTCGCAACACAGTACAATTCCTCCAAATGTCGGAAGAATTAATAGTTGCGTTCACAATGTCCTGGCGACTCCCCTTTGGAATCACTGGAAGTATTTGTCGAAAGTTTCCACCAAATACAACAGGTTTGCCTCCGAATGGCTTGTTACTGTTGGAAGGGTCAACTGCTCCCATAATAGCCTGCAATGATGTTTGGACAGCTTCGAAGCAATGTTTGTGCATCATCGGCGCCTCGTCTCATATAATGAGAGAGCATCGTATTATAAGTTCCACAAGAGGACTTGCCTGGTCAATATCGCAAGATGAATTTACATGAATACTCAGCGATATGCGAAATCGAGAGTGTGCAGTTCTTCCACCAGGCAACAAAAGAGACGTTATTCCACTTGATGCGACACATAAAACAATTTTACCCTTCGATCATAACCCCGTAGACAACGTTCTCCACAAGTAGGTCTTCCCAGTCCCGCCATATCCGTATACAAAAAATACACCACCATTATCAGAATCTACAGCGTCCGTGATCTTTGAATAAACAGTCTTCTGCTCGTCGATCATTCTACTAAAAAGTGCTTCGTGCTCTACAGATAAAGCCTTCCGATCGTAATTTAGCTCATCCAATATTAAGCGATTCGAAGTAGAGTTACTATGATCTCTGAATGGATAAGGCATGGATGAATAATCACGAAGACTTGTGTCGCGCCTTCTCAACGTCTCAATTTCGCTTAGGGTGAGATTCTTTATAACATCATCACTGAGCCACAAATCTAATTTATCTCTCTATTTTTTTTACGTGAATGCTGTGAATGTAAAATAATGGTGGTACTGAATGTCCTTTTATACAACTTTAATTGTGTATAGTTTTATTTCCTGTTTTTTTATGCCGCTTTTTAAAAATAAATCCATATAGATACATCCATATATTTTGCCAATTTACATAAAGATATCAAAGTATTAAATGAATAACATATTTTCTATTTGAAAGCAAGAGTTCTAAATTCTATATTGTTGAAAGATATCAAAGTATTAAATGAATAATATATTTTCGATTTGAAAGCAAAAGATTCTAAATTCCATATTGCATATGTAATTACTGAAATTGTGAAAAAAATCGAAAATATAATGAGAGTATGTTAAGTAGGTCATATAATTCCGCCCAACACATCAATTAAGAGCATATTGTTTTGGATTTTCATTCCATATCATAAAAGAAAAAAATCGGAAAAAAACATATCTAATATAATTAGGCAATAATTAATGAAAGCTTGTTAAGTTACTATATGTATGCAATAATTAATATTTTTGGCGGGAAAAGATTACTAAAAGTGAATTAAGTTAATTCTTATTATATATTAATAGATTATACAATTTAATCATACAATTTAAGTTATAAAAATCATACAATTTAGTTTTTTTCTTTAAAAATACGCTTTAACATATATATATATGACACTTTTTGTAATAAATTTGAATAAAATGTGTTACTTAAATATCTAAACAATTTAAAAATTCAAATATTAAAATTAATTGATAAACGATTTATAAATCTCTATTCTATTTAAATATGTAACTTTATTTAAAATAAATTTAAATATAGAAAAAATTATTTAGAAAATCGTATCGATCTTACCAGTTCAACCGACTGGTATTGACGAATTCAATAACAAATATTTTATTCAAGCGAACTACACTGATTATAAACTGGTTTTCAGTCCATCCGGTCGGACTGTGTCCAACACGGTTTAATTTATAAACAATGGGTAAATCTTGATTAATTTATTTTGTATATTTAATTTGTAACACAATCGTAATATGATTTTCATGTGCATCGCATGGGCCACGTACTAGTTAATTATTATCTTTCTACAATTTTAATGGACCCGTAAAGACTTCAACTCTCTTTTATTGCCCAGACTAGGGTTGGTATTTTTTGACCGTAAATCGAAAATCGAACCGAACCGAACCGAACCGAACCAACTTGTGTGTAACGGTAACTGAAATGTGATTACCGAAATGTTATCGGTTCAAAACTCATTATGTTATGTCGACTTTTGCCCCTTCTAAATTAATTTTCTGGTTTCGCACCCGAGTACCAATGTCAATCATATTGCATAGAACCTTCATATACCAAATGTTAGTCATCATACAACAATAGAGAGAGCATTCTTTTGGAGGTTACAATATAGTATTGAAACTAAAGAAGAAGGGGGCTATTGCATACTGTTCAAAGTTAATCGGGTCGTATTTAAGATAGTATATAGTTATATTTTTTTCTCTTGTTTTGTGGAGTCGAATATGACAATCTCAATTTGGCCAAGACCACGCGACAGTGACAATGGCTGCTATAAGATTTGTATTTCTACAAAAACTTATCTTATCCGAAAACTAAAGATTCCAAAAAATGAGATTAAAAAGTGTAAGAAATTATTTTAAGATGAAATTAGATAAATTTGAGACTGCAAATAAATTTAAGAAAAAAAAAACATAATAATTAAAATTTTATATAATTAAACTAATATAATATAGGCTGATAGTGATTGACAATATAAAACAATCTCATTCTATGTGGTCAGTTAAATACATTATAAATGTACCGTTCAAGTATTCATTTGTCACGATTAACTAATTACAAACGTAAACTACAACCATCACGATAAATTGTACAATTATAACTAGATTGCGAACTAAAATTTATATTTTAAAAGGCAGTTAGTATATAATCTTATATTCAACACGATTCATATTATCTACAATGTAAAATAATGAACGAATTACTATTAATATTTACAATAAAGAAAACCACAAATTAAGTGATATTGACTTAACACAATTCTCATTCGAAAATCAGAAATATTTTTGTAAATAAAGTCAAACTCTCAGTATACAAACTGTCGGCAGCGCAAAGGAACGGGCATTGTCGAACTGTCGTCCCATACGGGGTAGACTGCTGATGTCTCTCTCCAGTCAGAGGAGTTGTCGATGCTCCACCCCCAAGATCATACGAAGGTAGGAAATAGATTGGTCCCCGAAGAGAGTAGAGACAAGTCGGCTCTAGAAGGAGGCATGCCCCCACAAGAGGGCTTTGTCACAAGCATGGTGCCTCGTGACTCAGAATCGACGAGCTCGGAAGTGAGATTTTGAGATCAACAGCCGCAGTGGTATCGCGACTTTAGCATTATTGTGACCCATGAGGTGCCGGATCTATATCTATTTTATGCTTACGCAATAATTGTCTCCCACATAGCTCTGAGGGTTTGGTTGCCAGAGTTAAAAAAATGGTGGGTGAGGATATGAACATGTGCCACCTCACTCCACAAAAAGGCTTATTTTTTTTTTTTAAGTATTTTGAAAAAGGGAAAACTCCTCTCAACTGCTCATGCTATGAACTTACTAAGACCTGAAATGCGACCTGCCAACACTTGCACCTCTCGAATATTTCTTGGTGGTGCCATAGCTTCCACTTTTAGTCACTACGTAGCCAAACAGCCTTGTTGCCCTCACTCCGAAGGCGAACTTGATTGGATTCAACTTCATTCCGAACATCCTCAATTTGTCAAATGTTTCCCGTAATTCAGTAGGACGTGACATTGCCTTTCATCTCGTTACCAAGATGTCATCTACATACACCTTCATATTACGACCTATCTGCCTTTGTAACATCCTATCCATCAACATTTGATAAGTCGCCCCTGCATTCTTTAATCCAAAAGGCATCACAACATTACAGTACATCCATTTTTCTAGTCAGAAAGCTCACTTTACTCTGGTCCGCTGAAGCCATGGGAATTTGGTGGTACCTTTGGGACGTGTCCATCATACTTAACAATTCACATCTCGCAGTCGAGTCCACTAATTGGTCTATTCTAGACAATGGATAATGATCTTTTGAACAAGCTATGACAAGGTCTCGAAAGTTAATAAACATGCGCCATTTACCCAAAGCCTTCTTCACCATATTCTATTAGATATCCATTTTGGGGATTGAATCCCTCTAATATGTTTAGCTTTCAACAACTTATCAACCTCTATCGCAATTGCCTTGTCCAATTATACTCCATGATGCCTAAGGTGCTGCTCCATCGGCTTTTTCATTGGATTCACATCGATTTTGTGCTCCATGACCTCCAGGTCGTGCATCTCAGTTCTTTTTGTTGGGTTCTATTAGGAACGTCGACAATGTGCACATTCAAATCTATTGAATAATAAATCCTAATGCAACGGAATCTATAGTTAGAATTAGGACTTATGGTTTAAAATTTTTGCCAACTCTGAGACGTTTCTGATTTCCGTTGATGGAGATCGTCTGAGCAACAAAGTCCAATGGGCAGCTGGACTTGGCCCTTCTCGATTCTAATCGAGTCGTCATGGTGCTCCATGTTGTAGCACAAATTGTTATTTTTTTTTCGAGTACTGAATCGAAAGATTCGTTCCCCGGGTCGATCTCTCGAGGAAGGCGGTTCGAAATTCAGCTTTGGTATCGATCACACATAAAAAGCAAAATAAATCGTAAGCACTCTAATCAGATTGGGGTTTGAACTATCAACTAGAAAATAACAAAAAATGCATAAACAGAAATAAACTCAAAAACATGAATCAAACAATGATAAAGAAGCTAGGAATTTGGGGATAAATATTTTAGTCCGAAATATAATTATCGGGCAAGCGATCGTTTGGTTAAAGGATTCGAATAACCTACACGTTTAGAGATTCATCCTCAATAACTTTTCGTAACAAGAGAATAAACATGAACGACAAATTAACGAGTCATTTAACACATAGGCAATACTCTTACGAACAAGTCTATTTTATGCGAGCCTAGATCTATCAACTCCTCCCCTTTCGGCTCTAGAGTTGATTAAATTAGACTAGACGCGAATTAATCGACTAGTCTTTTAGAATTAACAACATCAAACCCGAATGAATCGTATTCAATTGAAAATCAATTGCAAATTGAAGTGTCACTCTTCAACAACATTAACATTCAAGCATATTATTTGAAAAACATATTTGAAATCAGCTCGCATAATTTGAATAATCATCAAACACAATAATCACAAACGAATTCAAAATATCATCCCCTATCCCTAGCTAATCGGATTAGCTGCTCATATTGAATTCAACAGAAACATTCACAACAATCCAAGCATTCATATCCATGGTTTAGATGAAAAAGAAAACTTACAATTGATAAAGAAATCGAGTGTTGAATCCAAAGTACAAGCTTAATCCGAAAAATAGAGACGAAATCAATGAAATCCAAGTGTAAGATTCAAGTTCTAGAGAGAAATATTCAAGAAAAATGAGTTTAGGGATGTTATTTTAGGTCTGGGAACGAGTCCTAATGTCAAGTACTCGAAAAAACGAACAAATCAAGTTTATGAAAATCTGGTCGCGACCTCCGCGGCCGCGGGAAGCTCTGAGGCCGCGAGATTTCAGCTTCATAGGTGCTCCGCGTCCGCGGGATTACTCCCGAGGTTGCGGTGAAGAAAACTGGGCAGCTGTGCACGACTTTACGTTTCGGCCTCGTTTGAACTCGTCCGAGCTCGGAATTGGGTGTCGTTTTTTCTACGCGTCGCCAACGAACCCTTCTAGTCAATTATTCTTTCCCATCAAATATATTCCTGAAATCCTAATCTCGCAAAGCTTATGACCTTCACACCAAAAACGTGTTTCACGCGACTTTGCGTTTTGGGCTTGTTTGAGCTCGTCCGACCTCGGAATTGAGTTCCGCTTCTTCCTGTATGTCGCCAAGGAACCCGTCTACACAATCATGATTGCGCAGTCAATTTTCAGGTTAAATCTGTTCCTCATGGATATTCTGACCTGCACACAAAAAATGAAAGAAACCAGAAAAACACACGAAAAACACAAAAAATACCAAAATAGAGCAAACCACGAAATAAACTACAAAACGAACTAAAAATCAGCTAAAAGACCTAAACGGGGGAAAAAGAAAGATAAAATAAGCATGGAAAATACAACAAAA